GTGCTGCAATTAACGGCTACAGAGCATACCAAACAAGAACTGTTGGGATAAGGGGAAGAAAGGAAATCCAAAAACTAATAAACGACACAATAACCTAAAAAAGTTTAAATTGATAAACAATAGGTTTACAAGAAAAAATATGCAAATTAGGATTCCTCTCGTTAGACTCTGATATCATGTAAAACAACAAAAGGCGAAAGAAACATTGAATAAATCTGTAAGAACCCGCACCGTTAATTAAGGAAGTTAATTAAATAAATATGAGAATTAGAAAATAATTCCATAATTGACCCTAATAATTATTTTAAGGCTTAAATAAATATGGTAAGTGATTAATAATGCTGAAAATCGTTTTTCGGACGAAAAGTGCAGATATCGGTTCTGCTACTCCGTATAAATGCGTGCCGATGAAGTATCCTAGAAAATTATAATAAGTGTGGTAATATTCTTAGATTAATACAAAGGACTTGTAAAACAAGTTTCAAGTTAAAATAATGAGAACTGGTGCCAGAACTGACACTGGCTATGTAAAAACGCGTACCAGAAAGGTGCTGCGAAAAATAAAATAAAAATATAAAAAATCTTAGAAAAATGAGTAGGTTCAGAATCCTAAGTTTGGGATTAAAATGCTAAGTGTAGAAATTAACGCTAATACAGTGCGTTTAAGTTTAAACCAGCTATAAATACTCATTGTTGGCTCTAAACCCTAGGCCATATCAGTTTTTCTACGTGCACCTTTAGAGGCTGGCCTGTTTGACATTGTTCCATTGCCTCCTCATCCATGTTGTGAGCCAAGTTATCATCTTTTGCTTTATTTTTCCCTCTTTCTCTTTGTAAACACTTGTGAGGATCATTGTGAGTGTGAAAGGAGAACCTTTTCTGAGTGTGGTGGCTGTGTGAAGTCAGTATAGGGGCTGTGTTTCTGAGTTGTGAGGGAGAGGCCATTGTCATGGCATTTTGAGGTCCAAGGAGTGACCTTTGTGAAGAAAGGGCCAACCTTGATACCCATTTTCGTTCACCTTGGTGTCTGCATCATAGGAGCTGAAGGGAGAGCTCCAAGAGCACCTCGTTCTGTTTTGAGCTTGGGGTACGATCATCACCTTTGTTCTTGAGTTTCTTTAGTTAAAAATGTAGCCTTGATTCATGTAATGAACTAAAGTTGATAACTTAAGGTTGGGTAAGGTTAAACACACCTAGAAATGCATGTTTAAGCTTCTGGAACCGTGAAAAGAACCACCTTTGGGAAGGATATCTCGCGAAATCCAGAACTGTATTCTGTCACGAAATATCCGGATATGATATCCAGATATTGATATCCGGATATGGGGTCTTGTGATATCCGGATATGGATATCCGGATATAATATCCGAATATTGATATCCGGATATGGCCTCGACATATATTTGGATATTCTGGGTTTCCGTGAACAGTAACGGTACTGTTCATACATAATGCTATTTTGGGTTAGTGGACCCATGATTAGTCAATGTGGACTTCTGTAATAAATAACCTAAGTCAGAATCTAAGTGATTAAGGGCTTATGGCTTTGTGAGAAGCCTAAAGACATGAAACGTAAAAGAGAAGCGTTTTCTTTATGTTATATGCTTATGAGCTATGGTTGTTGATATGATTGCTGGTCCATAACAGATTGTGATTCTGCTGTGTTTGGGCTTTGAGCTTGGTTGGACTCTTGGCTTGGATAGTTAGCTTGCAAGGTAAGCTTTCGTGTCCTCGGTTTAGCCGTTGTTGGTTCCTCCATGTCCCATGGGGGGTGGTTATATGCATGATGTTGTTTTCATGTATTGTTTTGTTGAAATGCTACTGAGCTGTATATGCGAATGCCTTTATGATATGCATGTGGTGTTCGCCTAGACGGGATGTGAGTAATAGACGTATTCCTGCACTTCTCTGGCCAGCAGAATAGTTATGACACACATGGCATGATTATCTGTTGCACTGCATGGTTTTGGAACTTATATTGATGAACTGCTTTTAGAACTTATATTGCACATGTAAGTGAGCTTGGGGTGGAAGATCCTTGAGGACCCTTATACTATCCAGCAAGTGTACCGATCGTTCAAGTAATAAAGTGATAAGTAAGTTATCGTCTCCACAGGGATTGTGAGCGAATATCTTATAAACGTCCTTTCAAGATATAAAACCCAAGTGATTTGAAGAACAATAGAAATTAAAGACAAAGACGTATTTTTGTATTTTAAAAATAAGAGAATGATGCAAAATGATTTGGATAAAAATATGAGAAATATTGTAGCTAGAGCGCACTCACCTTATGATCCCCACTTCTTACTTTGGATTGATTTACAATATTTATTCATATAATTACTCGAATAAATTATTATCTAAAAATATTTATTAGTTAACCCTCAATTCCTTGCAAGGTTAACCCTTTAATCCCCAATTGGAACCCCAATTCCTTGCAATGTTCCTCATGGTATTAAGCAATGAACGCAATAATTTAAGCATCCGCAATTAAATACACATCTATTCCTAGCATGCATACCAATTGTTGTCCTACCCCCTTTCAAGATGAAAATCCCAATATTCCTATCTAGGGTTCTAACCCTCACTACTATTCCCAACTATCAGATTGATCAGTTCTAATAAAGAGAATAGGAAATACGCACAAGGTAGAGACAAAGATAATTATACAAATGAATAAAACTAAATCAATCCATCGTAACAAGGGTTCACATAGGGCTCGTGACCCTAACTACAATAAAAGAGAATTAGCCAAGCATAATCATGGCTAACAATAATCCAATATTCCAAAGCATAAAATTACAGAGAAATAGATGAAGAAGAAGAACTGTGGAAGAATCCTTCTGAGCTCTGCCGTCGGTCTCCTTATGAAGAAATAGGTCTGAATTGTCTCCAATGTCTTGGAATGGTGGAGGACCACCCTTTAAATAGGCAACTGGTCAATCAGGTTATAATCTTTGAATTTAATTTCATTAATTTTTCATTTTGATCATAATTCCACAATTCAAGGATTGCATTCATGACGCCCGCACGATCAGCGCCAAATCCGTGACTCCACAAATCAAGGACTGCATTCATGGCACCCGCACAATCAGCGCCAAATCATTTCCTTGTTTTCTTTCAAATTTCGAATTTCTTCACCTTTTAAGCTAATTTCTGTGCAAAGTCTCCTATTTATAAGACTCTTTTTCTTCTTCCAAAAATACCCTCGTGGAATCGCGTCAACAGGCTTTTTATAATTTTGTAATTTTCACTTCTTTTACCTGTAAAAACACAACCAATAGGTGAGAACTATAATTGAAAAGAAAGAATCAATATAATTAGCAAATATGTATTTAAATTGCTCTCTTATGACCCAATTCTTATCAATTTTAACATGGAAAAACCACACTTGCCAGAGGAACATCAGACCCCTTGTCTTACTGAGATTTTTGTTTAGAGATCTCACCTCACGTTTGGGGAACCATTTTCAGGTTCAGGTAATGCGGGGGTTGAGACCTCCAGCGGCAGGAGGCCGGAGCTTAACTGAGTTATATGTTGTTTATGATTATATGCTTTAGATGTTGACATGTGTTATGTTTATTGTTATGATTTTGCTATTGAGACTTGTTGGGCTTGTTGCCTTATTTGGTGAGCATGGAAATTGTCCATGCCACATTGATTTGACTTTATGTTTTTGATTCGAGTTGTATTAATGATATCAGGATATTGTCCGGACTACGTGTTGTAGATCCGTGACTTAGATACTCACTTATTTATATATGAGGTTATTCAATGTAAATAGGTGTCTTTTGCAATTTACTTACAGACAATGTTTTGGAAATGAATTAAGTAATTCAACTTAGCTAAGTATAATGACGTCATAATTGAAAGTAAAAAGTTATTCCGCAATTTTAATTAAACGTGGCTTAATACGATGGCATGTTAACAAACCGAGTATATACGGAGTGTTACAAAATTCATTTAAGTAAATTGCACAACGATGACTATATTATATATAAAACTATTATGTATATACAAACTGAAATACATTATGCGAGACTAAGTCCCTTTTACTACTTCTACTATATACAACAATATTATTAGACTTTAAAAATTAGGCATCATTGCAAACTCCCCGTTCAAGAACAAATCCAACATTTTCTTCGATTAAGATACAAGTCTCTTCCATAGGCCTGCATTTTTGCATATATAAGCATATTATTAGACTATAGAAATTAGGCATAATTAGGAACTCCCCGTCCACGAACAAATCCCTCATTTTGTTCGATTAAGATATGAGTCTCTTCCATAAGCTTGCATTATATGAATCTCTTCGCATACATAAGCATGTTATTAGACTATAGAAATTAGGCATCATTGCGAACTCCACCTCCACGAACAAATCCCACATTTTCTTCGATTAAGATACAAGTCTCTTCTATAAGCCTGCATTATATGTATCTCTTCGCATACATAATCACGTTATTAGACTATAGAGATTAGGCATCACTGCCAACTCCCCGTCAACAAATCCCTCATTTTCTTCGCTTAAGATACAAATCTCTTCCATAAGCCTGCATTATATGAATCTCTTCGCATATATAAGCATGTTATTAGACTTTAGAAATTAGGCATCATAACGAACTCCTCGTCCACGAACAAATCCCACATTCTTCGGTTAAGACACAAGTCTCTTCCATAAGTCTGCATTATATGAATCTCTTCGCGTATATAAGCATGCTGTTAGACTTTGGAAATTAGGCATCAATGCGAACTCTGCGTCCACGAACAAATCCCACATTTTCTTCGGTTAAGATACAAGTCTCTTCCATAAGCCTGCATTATATGAATCTCTTCGCATATATAAGCATGTTATTATACTCTAGAAATTAGGCATCATTGCGAACTCCCCATCCACAAATAAATACCTCATTTTCTTCGATTAAATACAAGTCTCTTCCATAAGCCTGCATTATATGAATCTCCTTGCATATATAAGCATGTTTAGACTTTAAAAATTAGGCATCATTGCAAACTCCCCCGATCCACGAACAAATTCCACATTTTCTTCGGTTAAGATACAAGTCTCTTCCATAAGCCTACAATGTAATGAAGGACACATTCAATATATTAAATAACCTATTGAATTGAAAATGATTAAATACTTAAATTCATATATTATATATGCATATGTATTGTATTACTGATGAGTTTGTCAGTCTTGTTTAGGACAGTGGATACTACAATGACAAGCCCATCAAGATAACTTAATTTGCCCTTTATTTTTTCACCGATCCAAAAGTCGAGTTGATCAGAATCAAGAATGATTGGTTCGTTCGAAGCACGATAAATTTAATGCACAACCAAATATTGCACCCGTTAGTTAGCTAATCATTCTTGGAAACAAAAATGTACATTTCACATTCAATATGAAATTAATATCGCAATGCATTTAATGTAAAACCATATATTGCATCCAATCGTTTCAATTTACCCTGACTTACGTAAAATCATAGAAAGGGGTTGAAGGAGCATATGTTGCATAAAAAAGGTTGTTTTTTCTATTTTAAATATTTTCTTTTAATCTCACCATAATCCATCCATTTGAGTCATTATAGGATGGTACCTGAGTTGCGTATGCAACCAGATCTGCATAAGTGTCCAAAACAGAAGAAAGAGAAAAGTGATGTTCATTAATGAATCAATTATCAAAACCACACATTGGAGAGAAATATGGGATGACTAAGGATTAATGAAAAATGGTGCTTACGAGTGAAAACTTGCTTTGCATATTGGCGAGAACAAAACCTTGTGTGTTAAAATTCCTACTCGACCAACCATATATATATATATGAAGGAAACTATTTTAATTAGTTCTACTAAAGTGAGTAGCCAAAATAATTTCTTAAGAGACTATTGCTAGTGACTGATTCTTTAATGTTACCAAGTTAGAAAAAGAACGTAAAAAAGAAAATAAATAGGCTTACTTGAGAGACGAAGAGACCATTCTCCTTGAGTTTAGGTTTGGCAACATCCTCATGAAAGGATCTTGTGTAGAGATTGTTGGAAGGCCCGGATTCATTCGGGTCTGAAAGATCTCCTAAGATGATATCAAACTTCTCTTCAGAATTTTCTAGCTTGGCCCTGTGAGAGATAAATGTGTAGCTTTTGTAAAAGCAAATCATAATAACAACTCTCTATCTAGTAATAATAAATCCCTCTATGTTACTTTAGTTCATATACAAATGACAAGTTGGAAGAAAAATGTAATAAATATCACACCTATGTAGCTGAAAATGAAAGATCTCATGAATTGTGTCAGCAAATTTAAGAACTTGTAATTCTAGTTTATATAAGAACTTGAGAGCCGTTCTTTATTCCATTAGGGAAGAAAATTTTTAGAAAATTGAAGTATCTCAAGTTGTATAATCCAACTAATTAAAAATTAAAAAATAGGAATTGTGTAGGGTTCGAAAGATCAAAGAATTAAATACTCACACTGCATGATTGTAGACAATTTGAAGCCTCTCATCATTAAAGGCCTCATGATTTGTTGTGAGATGCTCGCAACATACGTTAACAACCTCCTATAGTTAAGTATATTTAACTCAGATTAACAATGGCTAGAGATATTTTTATTAAAATGTATATGATCAGTTAAGATTGATATGTCTCAGGATCTCAATGAATTAACAACTTACTCGACCAATATCACATATTATCACTTTCTCAAAGTCTACATGTTTCAGAATTACTCTGGCAGCAGACCCTCCATCTCTTCCCATGATAAACACACTTTTCGGTCTGTTCTTGGCGTGAATACTTGGTTAGAAATATATCAAAAGTATAAAAACTATTAAAAAAATTGATAGAAATATATACATACTCATTATATACAAGGAGTGCAGGATGAAACAAGCTTTCACGGTAGATATAGTCATCAAAAACAGTGCATTGCAAGTGCCCATCAATCAGAACAGCCTTCATGTAAGATACATATTAGATTTCTAACTTGGGAGAAAAACTTGATTCTGATTATCATTCATGCAATCAAGAGTACAATGATAACAACCTGAATGTCGAGACCTTAATTATAAGAGTAACAAAAAACTATTGAATACGAAAAAAAAATATCTTCCTAAACTAGCTGAAGTCAATAGCATGTGATAAATAATTGTGACAGTTGATGGACATGCATGATATACTGTGTCACAAAATCCACGAAGAAAACACACCTTTCCATTCCTCCTTGTTGCAAGGACTTTTAGATTTTGGATATCACTTGACCCTTGAAATTCCTCCCTGAAACCAAATTCATGATAAGTGTAACAGCCCGTTACGTACCGGTATTGTTAACATTAATTATGATATTAAGCGCAGTTACAATCACAGCAGTTCATTTATAAAAACGAGAATAAATTTTTTCTGACTATTACGCGAGGATTTAAAACATAAAAAGGCGTAATAATTAAAAGCTGTGACCGTAACCGTAAACTCTTGCGGAAGGCTTACTTAAACCATTTTTATAACTTACATCATTTATTATAAGTGACCAAGGAGTTCCCATAAACTCACTTAGCCAATTTTCAACTTAACGTTTTTACCAATTCGAACATGTTTCACTCTAAATTTTTCTGCGACCAAACCGATCGCAACCAACCCTTCTTCTCAGATTATATTTTTGTATTACTTAATTCCCTTTTTAACAAGCTATCATACGCTCAATTCGGAGCTCATTTGCTCCGGTTATCGCCGTTTGAAGTTGGATAAGCAATTAGCCCAAACAACCCTAAAAACAGCTCCAAACCACTCACATTGCTCGAATTACTGCACTCAATCCACTCAACCATTTTCTCTCAAATTTTTATCCTACAAACTAGACATCTAAAACTTCATTTTGATATATCACACGCTTAATTTGGCGGAGAAACGAAGCGGGAATTAATTTCCCAAATCCGGTCCAGAATCTGCCTCAGGTGCAGGGGCACATGGGCAGTCCGTGTTTCTCTATTTTTTTCAGGCCGAATATCAACCCAGAATTTCCTCAAGTTTTGACACAAGGTAGAGGACATCTCAACCTTCAAAATGGCGTATGGTACGTCCCTAGAGGACTTCTATGGAGGGAGATATGCTCTCCCGAAGTTCGCCTAAAATCTGCCAATTCTACAGAAAATTCGCCAGAGTTTCCTTTGTTTTTCCAATAATCCCAAATTTGTAAAAGATCCTTTAACCTCAATTGTACCTAATAAACACATGATAATACAACAATAATCCAATGGGTGGCACACACAAGGACCAACAACGCCTTGGGGCACTTACAACCCAATCCAGTTTATAGTTATTAAACATAGAGTCCATATTAATCATTCTTAAGTAGTTGCAATCACTAACACCTTTTTCATGCATATTTCCATCATACATATTATCATAACCTAAAATAGGCCTAAGGCCCTTCCATCATAATTAGACATGCATCAATACTATTACAATATGGCTTTACAAATTACAACTTGAAACTAAAACTTCAAATTACATTCTTCTAAAATTTCAACTTAATTTAAAAGACAACATAACCAAATACATCACTACTAGACTTAGACAAAATGGCATGAACAAGATGCTAATGAAGCTACTAATAAATACAAATGACATGTTCATGCCCTAAGTCTAGCCTAGGCCACACGGCCAACAAAATGCAAAATATGAAGCGCTCCAGCGCTCACTCTGCGGGCCTCTTGCCGAGGCTCCTGCTCCACTGCTACCTCCTGAAATAAATGCCCCGAGACGGGGTGAGATATACGAATATATCTCAGTAACCAAGAGGTTCTGGAGAAAACTCCACCCAATGGTTCACTTCGATGCATATCAATAGAATACAACAACCACTTTGAAAACGGGATATAGCAAGGGATTTAGAGAATGGGGAATATAAAGAAAACAAAATACGACGATACGGGATGGTAACCCCAATTCCACGTACGCCCTCGGCATATATAAGCCTATGGGTATCATCCAAGGTGTGTTCACAGAAACCACAACCATGATGCCCAAACCAACCAAAACGCCAAAGACATTCCTAGTGTGCTCCTACCCGGATCACACACCATGACCGCAGTCAACTGGAACTCCCTCCTGGAGACCTATCCAGCGGAAGTCCGAAAATGCCCGAAGGCTAATAAAACTGTCTACTGGCCAGAGACTCGGTACATAAGTACCCATAGCAATAATGCATGCATGCTCATGTGTTATATACTATTCATACACACTTCCTACCGTTACCATCAACTGGCAAGGTGGAACAGAAAAGGGGAACAAGCCCCAGTACCAAGAGGTTACCTTAATTCGTGTTTTCACAAGCTCCGCAGCAGCTTATCCCTCAACTCGGTACACAGCGGAATGCCTACACAGAGGACATTCCTAATCACTCACAATTCAAACAATACATGCTACTTTACAATTACACATGCATTGAACCAATTACTTACCTCAATCCACTTGGTCCAAGACCGATGGCAACTCACTGAATCAAGATTCAGGATTCAAGTCAACGTACGGCAACCTATACAATTACGTACATCCATCAGTACGCGTCAAATAGCATCAAAATGCAAAATCACAAAAATCCTCCCCATCCTCCCTTGATGGTTCTGCCATTGTAGTGTAAATGTGAGATTTATTTTTCTAAATTTTCTTTCTCATTTTATAACACTCCCTTAGGTTGTTTAGAGGCTAGTTCAATCGTCGTTTTTCCGTTTTCCGACATTTACGCATCGTTTTGCAAAATATTTCATTCTGGGCTCATTTAGGTCTCTAACACAATTCATTTTTTTCCATTGATTCAAACACTCTCCAAGCACAACACAACCCATCTAAGCACCATATAACTACACAAATCATCATCCAAATCATTTTTCAACATCAATTCCTCAATCTTTCCTCAAAGAATCGAATTTTACCCTATGGCATTCCAAGGAATTTCCATACAACTTTAATCATTCCACACCTCATACAATCCTATTATATCAACATACAATCATACAACAACTCATCAATCCAATCCTAACACATTTTCAAAACTCAAAGTCATGACAACCTCAAAATTTTCTAAGTTAAAAATTCACATTTTTCATCAATAATTTTTATTGCATTTATGGCTACTACACATCATTCTAAGACACATTCATGTACAAACATTTTCCAATTGAGCTCTCTAAACACATCAATCCAACAAGCCCTCTTTAGGGTTCATAAATTCAACCACAAAATCAAACCATTGGAACACAAGGAAACTCACCCAAAAGCTTGGCACAAGGCTCCTCCTAAACATACTCCACCATTGGAGCATCAATCAACACCATTTTCACAAATCTAAAGGAAAGGGCCGCAGCTTTGGGGAGGGTTTTTCTCAAAATCTAGTGGCTTTCAAGGCTTGGGAGTACCACCAATGGATTTAGAAGGCCATTTCCATCAAATTTCAAGACAAGAATCAATGGATTTGGTGAAGAAATGGCTAAGTTATGGTGAAATGAAATCTTGGAGGGGAAGGGCTATGGTGGCTGCGGGTTTGAGCAAGAAGAGGGAGGAAAGTGATGCATGAATAGTGCCAAGCACATGTGGCTTAAGTCACTTAAGTGGGGTGGGTCCCACCGCCACCTCACGCGATTTAAAACTAATCCGAATTTTCCTCCGATTCCACTAAACGTCCGTAAATTCACAACCTATTTAGAAACTCAAATTTTTAATATTAACTATTCCCCATTAATTAGGCTTGATCAGATGAATTAAGAGTCCTCCATTCGTTCGGAGAAAACACTGTTTTAAGCTATTATGCGCGCCATTGGCACGCTTCCCCAAACTGTCTTAATTTCATCGAATATTATAAGAAATCATATTTCCTAACTCATTAGAGACCATTTTTAACTCATATTTGAAACCTAGAGCTCAAAACTCAATCGGCACGTTTTACGGTGCAATCGTACCGCGGTATTTTTACCCGCGAAAAACACTATTCACTGATTTTTCTGAAACTTGCCTGTCCACTCAATTTTTCGTTCTGAACCCATTTCCAGGGTTATTTTTACCATCTGAGACCTTCTACTCAATTTTTATCTTCCTAGGGTTGCGTGTTGGCTAATTACCGTTTTGCCCTTTCTTTGTATTTTGGCCTAATCTTTTGGATTTTCACTAATCCATCACTTGATTGCTCACTTAATATTTTAATTACTTGATTTAAAATTGTGAGGTGTTATATTCACCCCAACTTTTTAGAATTTTGTCCGCAAAATTAAATCATACTCACCCGCTAACTCAGGACACAGCCGGAGAATCTCATCCTCCCGCTCCCAAGTAGCATCCTCAAGTGTGTATCTTTACCATATTACTTTTATCACAAGCATGATCTCCTTCTTATGATACTCATTATCCTTTGATCCTTCATAATTACTCGTCTCTCATGGTTCTGTGACATTTTAATTCCCAATACTTTAAACTTTCTCTGGTTTACCGTTTCTCTTTCGCTGATTTGTAGGTAATAATATAACCATATTACGGATTTGTCGGTATCAATTTACCTCATTCTCATCTTTATCCATCCTTCTGACCCATGGTCGTTCTCAAAAGCACCTAATCGTTTTCATACTAGGCTCTAACCGTTCTCATGCACATTCACTAGTTATTCCTGGAGTATTTCCAACTCACATGTTCTTTAGTACTTAACTCTTTTCGCTGTCCTCACTGTTTTCACAATACCCCAACAACCATTTCTTTCTATTACTGTTACTACTCT